CCTTGTGGAGGTATCTCTCTGTAGCCCTGTACCATTTCCCTCTGCATTTTTTTCCCCTCCCTTCCTCCCAATTCTCATTTACCCCTGTTCTGCCCAAAAAGTTCTGGTCTGGGATGCTGCAGCCTCACAGGCTCCTGTGTGATGATGCAGCTTCACATCAGCAATTCGCTCACATGTGCACACACTAAAGGAAAACACTCCCCTGCCTTTTCTTTGCCCTTTTCAACCCAAACCCATTGCATGGGTTCAGCCTTGTGTGGCCACACAAAGAGGTGACTCAGGCAAAGGAATGGGGAGGGAATGGCATCTCTGCTCTGGATCTGAACTGTTGGGAAAGGAGGTGGAAAGCAGATGCCTCAATCAGACCATGGCATCGCTTCAGCCACTGGCTGGGACCAGTTTGTAAGGACTGACCAGTTTGTATGGGCACACTTTGGAGAGAAGAAGGGCCCAATTTCTGACACAGATTAGTGATGACACTCTCACAGTCATGAACAAGATGCTCATTGTTAAACTGTTTCAAAAGTTGGCCTGATTTCTCTCTGGCAGTGTCTACATTATTTTTTTTCAAGCTGAATGCAGGCTGAAGAGGGGCTGAAGCTGCCCTTCTCCAGCCACAGCACCAGAGAATGCTGCAACAAATTCTCTGCAGAGGATCCATCCCAGAAATGGTGCTGAACTGCCTCATTGTTGACTGATGCCTTCCCTTATGACAAGTGATTTCTGAGCAGCTCCTGAGGAGTTTTCCTGTGGCTGTGAAGATGGGGAGGCTGGGAGGGTGTGCAGGCACCAGCCCTTGGGGGAGAAACACTTGGAAGAGCAACTGCAAGCAGGAGTGGCTGAGCACTGCTTTGCCTGGTGCACAGTGCTGGGGATAATGTGGCTCCCCAGGCAAGTCTGTGCATCTGATTTACACCTCCAGGGTGCATTTCTGTGCTTGGTACAGCCACACACTGAGCACATCTTGGCCTGGAAGGATCTTCTGTACTCCCAGACTTGTATAAATGCAGTGCCAGATTTTGGTGAGATGCCTTCTCCCTGTGCCAGGGTTACAGGGAGCCAGTGGTGACAGCCCAGGCAACACAATGGCATGCAGGCCTACGTGTCAAATTTGCTGGTTCAGATGAAGATTGCACATCTGGGCACAGGGTCAGCAAATTTCCCAGGGAGTGTGTGACTGAACTAGCTGTAAAAGACGACCTATTAAGGTGTTTTTATTGATGTGTTTAACTTTAGGCACATGCTTGGATATCTGCTGAATCAGGAACACACGGACAGGAAGTGAGCAATGTATGTTAAAGGAGATGTCACCTATACACAAAGTCCCACTGGTGTCATGGAGTTGATGCATCATGAATGCAGTGGCCTAAAGTATCCTTTCAACAAGAAACATCAGATTGTAACAAAACAGACAAGATCCTGTTCAACTGAAATAGCTCAAGATGTTTTAAGGAGAGCATCAAACTCCAGTTTAGCAGCTGAAATTGGGTTTGAAGCAGTTTTTCTCCAACATGAACAAATGGTTAGGAGGGGTCTAACAGAGATGCAGAGGAAGGAAAAAAAGAAAGGGACGAGTTGGTCCTTTCTGTTGGGCCCAAACAAAGAAAAGCAGAAAAGTGCAGTGAGTGGAAGAGTCAGTAGGAAGGATGAGGTGAGAAAGAGCAAGATGAGAAGCTGAGAGCTAAAGAGATGCTGAACAACCCAAGAACCCTGACCTAACCCCAGAAGGAAACAGCTATCATGGAACACTTGACACAAAAAAAATTGTTCAGATCTTTCATGTCTTCTATATTAAGAAAAGAGCAAGAGTGTTTGCAAAGCTCTGCAAAGCAGCCACCTGTAGGAAAGCCTTCAAATCCCCCCTGTGCCCACACAGCTGAGCTGCACACCCAGAGCTGCAGAAGGCTTGGCTCCATCCCAGGAGCTGGCAGCCAGCTGTGCTGTGGGGTGTGCAGTGCAAGCAGGACGGATGCACAGTCCCACCCCAGGGACAAACAAAGGGCCCACACCCAGAAGGGAGCCAGAGGACTCAAGGAAGGGAGGGTGCAGCTGGCCTCTCTGAGGAAACCCTAAGAGCTTCTAGATTGGGAATCCAAATACAGGAGCCCGAGGACTCACAGAAAGAGCTCAGAAAGGGCTGGGCATCGAGTGTTTTTTTAGTGCTTGCAGTCAGTCTTCCAAGATGGTCCTTCCAGCCTTTGAGCTGTTTCTCAAAGGATGGAAAGGGTGAAAGAATCATGGAATGCTCTGGATTGCAAGGAACATTTACAGGTCTAGTTCCAATCCTCCAGCAATGAGCAGGGATAACCTCAGCTGGATCAGGTTGTTCAGAGCCCTGTCCAACCCAACCTTGACTGTTTCCAGGGGTGGGACAGCCATCACTTCTCTGGGCAACCTGTGCCAGGGCCTCATCACCCCCAACATCAGTACTGGGACACTGAGGCATTTCACAGAGTCACAGATTAAGCCAAGTTGGAAGGGATCCACAAGAATCAGCAAATCCAACTCCCACCCCTTCACAGGACCATCCCCAAGAGTCCCCCCCTGTGCCTGAGAGCATTGTTCAAACACTTCTTGAGCTCTGTCAGGTTCTGGGCTGTGACCCCTTCGCTGGAGAGCCTTTTCCAGCACCCAGCCACCCTCTGGGTGAAGAACCTTTTCCTAATATCCAACCTAAACCTCCCTGGACACAACTTCTGGCCATTTGTTGCCTTTCATGTGAGTGCCTCTCCCTCTCCTCAGCTGCCAGTGAATAGGCACTGACACAGGAGCCACACTGCAGAGCAGACAGGGTTCACCACCTCTGAGTCCATCTAGGAAGAGAAAGTCTGAATGGAGCTGAAATTCCAGTTCCAGGGCCCAACACATTCTTTCAGAGACACAATCCAGAATGAAGAGATAAGCATTATTATCAGCAAAACCACACAAGAACACAACCAAGAACTACAGACGAAAGAGACTGGCAGAGGTGTAAATAACAAGCCACAAGTATTTATTCAGCTAAAGTTACATAACTTATGCTTCTCCAGTGCATTCATATATGGGATCAACATCTGCTCTCAGCAATGACCATTTAAATTAGGAATAATTTATTGCAACCACTGGTTCGTATCAGATTTACAATGAACAGTTCAGCTCATCGTGTTCAAAATAATTGGTGGGTGTTTCAGAGAAAGAAAAAGAAGTTTTCAGTACCAAGAAAGGAAAGCAGATAAGAAAAGTATTATCCTTCTTTCAAGCAGTACCAATCCTAACAGCAACCCCAGTGACTTTAATCACCTTTCCCTCAACCCCTCTCCAAATTACACTAACACTTAAATTTTTTCCTTCTGGACAAGTTAAAAATTCTCTCCAGAAGAAAGAACTTCTTGTGTTTAGTCTCCCTCACCTAGACAAGTAGAAGTCTGAGAAAATTGGGGAAGATATCATAAATACCAAAAGCAACTAAGTGTCCAAGTTGACAAGGGACAGAGTAGTTTGCTATATAATGAACAGATAGACCTTTAAGGGTCAGCTCACACAAAAGAACTTATATTTATGTGCACATATGGCAGATTTATAATGGCATATTGGATACCTACAAAATATGCAGCCAGCTTGTGTTATAATAAAACCTGTTCCCATTCCAACAGCTTCAGTGGGCTCTAGATAAGGATCCTTTATAAGTAAAAGGCACAGGAATGTTGCATCCTAGGACAGGCTCCACAGAACAAGACCCTTTCTTCTCAGAGAACACTGTCAAAAATTAATTAGAGAACAGTCCCTTAGCTGGGTAAATTGAAGCATCCTGACTGCAACAGCCTCTACTTTACAATATTTTTACTTTAATGTGGTCTTTATAAAGCCTTAGTTGTATTCCTAGAATCTGCAGATTATCTTCTGGGAATGCTGAATAAAACCCAATTTGGATTTTACTGAAACATAGTACAGACACTCATGTCAAAACCAAGCTTTTAGAGAAGGTGTACTGGTTTAGTTCCTGCTCTCCTTGGATCTTATTTTTCTGGGTGTTGCCTATCCAGTGACAGAGAATTCAGCCTTGTGGCACAATCTGGTCAGCCAAGCTGCACCATACAGGCAAGCAGGCTCAACTCAGCTGCTGGACCCTCTTTCCAGGCGTGTCTCAGGCCCAGAGCCAGTGCCAGTCTAAGGAACAGTTTTGTTACTGGACCTCACTGGCACCTGATAGAGCAGGGAATCATTGCAAATAAATCCTCAGTTGGGCTCAGATTTTCATCAGGTCAAGACTGAAAACTTCCACTTTCAAGGCTGAGTCCAGAGCCACAGCTCAAGCACAAACATTGATAACATTGCCACAATACAGGTTTTTAGAGATAATATCCTGCATACACTGGAAATGCAGCTACCATGTTACAGCCACACTTCCCTCAGGTTGGGAATATATTTAGGATGAACAGTCCCTTGCAAGCATGCAATGAAAGGGGTTTGGAGCTTTGTCTTTCCTGTGGGAAACACCAATCACATCTAAAAGTACCCCGGGCATGATGCAGAGAGCCAGAACTGAGCAGGAAGGGTCAGGCCAGGCGTTCAGTGGGGGCCCATGTTTGCATGAATTCTAAAGAAACAAAGAATCTGTAAAGAGGTTGTGCATGCAGATTTAGATCATGTAGAGCTAACTGGAGTGCCCCTGCCACATCTCGGTGTATCTACCCCCAAAAGCATACTACCACCAACTTTAACTGTGCATTTAAGAAAAGACTGAGATAGGTTTTAAACATATGGTCCACGAAATAATGTATTAATCATACAACCAAGACATCTCCCTGCTTTACATGGGGTAAAAACATGTCTCACTATACAAAAACATTATTCTGAAAAATAGGCTAAATTATCAGTACATTCAACAACTACTCTCACACTCAGGAATTCCATGGCCTTAACTGCCTAATAATTAAACTTAAAAAAACCCCAAACTTTAAGAAGAAAAAAAAAAAAAAAAAAAAAAAAAACCCAAAAAAAACCAGACACATTTAAAAAGCAGTATATTAGTATGAAAAATCTGGTAAAAAGAGTTTGCAAAAGCTCATGAAAAGTTATATTAATGATCATCTGATTAATTCTGGTGGATCTTTAAGAGTCTGCAAACGTTTCAAGTGACTGTGACTGTGCAGAACAGAACTGTGAAAGCCTAAATTCACAGCCAAGCCCTAGGCAGCCCAAAAGTTGGCTTATTTATTCTCTCAAGGACAAAAACTCTTTTGCTCTTCCTCACCCTCTCTCCTTTCTAGTTCATAGATGTGCCAAACAAAAGGCAGTGACTTTACCAGGAGCAAGTGGCACTGGGCTCAGAGGAGGGAGAGAATAACTTGGAGGCTGTTCTTACTTTCAGTACACACTAAAAAGCACCACTACTGCCATTTACTACCAAAGACACCAAATTCTCAGCAAACAAATGAACAAGAGCAAGCCAGTGAACAAATCTAATGGAGATCTATATCCCAAGGGAACATGCCATGGGTCCAGCATAAACCAGGAGGAATTTCATACAGATACACAAATCTCACTGAAAAATGATCAAACAGGATTATTTAAACAGAATTTAAGACCTTCAAACACATTCCAAAATTCAGCCCTCAAGACTCTTTCAAACTACTGATATCAATGGAGTATATTGAAGTATAATGCAAATAGTTTCAAAGGCTTTCTGAAAACAGAGGAAAACTTCATCGTAGTTATAATCTCTCTCTCTCCTCTCTCTCCCTCTGAAATTAGCTAAAGCAGCTGTCCAAATGACTATCAGCCAATCCAGAAAGTGTCCAGCTGTTCCTCCAAAGTAGAGACTGTGTCCTGGGGTTGGACAGAAACAAGCTGGGGTCAAGCAGAGGATGTGCCAAGCACTGCTGTGTGCTGTGGGTGGTCAAGTAGCACACAGTGCCTTTACAGCTTAGCTGGGGCCACGGGCTCTATGGCACGGATGTGGACACTGGGAAGGCAGAGCCAGGACAGAGGCAGATCCCTGCTGCAGTTGTCTTCATGGAATTTGATGTTCAGGTAGAAATCGCCCGTGTAGAGGAAGAGAAGTGCTCCAAAGTACACAGAGTCTTTGGTTGGCTTTACCTGGCAAAGAGAATACAAAAATCAGAACAAATAAACCATCAGCAAAGCAAATTAATTGCAGTTTGCAATTCATTAGCTCCTTCAAAGAGTCTCAGAGTACTCCAGATTCACATCTTAATAATGCTTTCATACAAAAAGGAGTAAACATCTCATCCCTATTCTAGTAAAAATGTTACTTTAAAAAATTAATCCTGTTATTCACTCAAGCAGTAAATCTGTGCCACAGCTCAAAACAGAATATGAACCTTTAGGAATCATTGATTCCAAACCCGAATTTGTTTAAGGTAGAGATCACTCTAAATCTCTCCTTAGACTGCATTTACCAACATCTCTATTAAAGTTCTAAATCATGTCTCTGAATTAATGTTAAATAAATGGTTTAAACACCATTTAACAGCTTAGCAATAAGTAAGTTCATTTTCACTTGTTACTGAGACACAATCTCGCTGCAAATTCTAATCAGGAACTTAGATGACTATCATTACAATAATGAAGTATAGCAAGAAACTTCCCAGAAACAGTAGCCATCCTGATTTTACTTGTCCAAATTAAATATACAGAGTTCACACTGTTTCTACATTTATGTATCTTCCTTCATCACAAATCCATCTACAATCCATATCTTCACAACAAATAATATATCTCAGTCCATCATTTCAGCAAGACACTTCAGTAATTTCTAACTTTAACACTCCCACCACTGTTCAGCATGTGATAATGTTTGAATTAGTATCTGCTTCCACAAGATGTTAAATCCAGTTTCAGGATGCCTAGAACTGAGTTACAGCAAATGCAAAACACCAAATCAACACAGAGCCATTCCACTGGACGGAATTTTTCCAAAAATTGTAAAAAGGCAACTTCATCCCAGTGGAAGAGTCCCATTAAAGGCTGAGGCTCTGAGACAGATGATCAGGGCTGTTCCCCACTACAAAAAAATTCATTATATGGCAAACTGGGACATGAACAATGGGGTGTGAACTGGGGAAGTGCTCATGGACACCGTTTGCTCAAGGACAACTTGCCACTGCTTAGGAAGACCAGAACAGGGATGATGGGAAGATCTTGGTGGGGAAGAGGGGGAAGGCCAATGATCAACAGAAGGTTTCAAGGGTGCAGGGAACTCCAGAATATTTCAGACAGCTGAAAACTTCCAGCCACCTTCCACGAGGCAGATCCTCTGTGGCTTTCAGGAGGGAAGGGAATGAGCTGTTTCCATTTTCTCCTGTTCTAGTTCTTTGGTTTTGGACTATCACTGCTGGGTTCTTTAGCCAGGAGACATCATCCTGTATCGTCCCCTGGGCTATCAGTCTGCTTTGTTGGACCTCCCTAAACTGGAAGAAGTCCAGAGAGGGGCCACAAAGGTGCTGAAGGTACTGGAGCAGCTTTTCTATGAAGAGAGGCTGAGAAAGTTGGGGTTGTTCAGCCTGGAGAAGAGAAGGTTGAGTGGAGGCCTCACAGCACCTTCCAGTATTTGAAGGAGCTACAGAGAAGCTGGAAAAGGCTCTCCATCAGGATCTGTAGTGATAGGTCAAAGAGTAAGGAGATCAAATTTACAGAGGGGAAATTTAGGATACATATATGGAAAAATTCTTTAGTGTGAGGGTGGTGAGGCCCTGGCACAGGCTGCCCAGGGAATCTATGAATGCCCCATCCCTGGAAGTGTTTAAGGCCAGGTTGGGTGGCACTTGGAGCAACCTGGGATAGGGGAAGGTGTCCCTGCTGGGATGAGATGAGCTTTAAGTTCCCTTCCAACCCAAAGCATTCTGTGCTTCTATGACTCTGAATTGCAGCTCCTGAAAAAGGGCCTGTCTGTTCACAAGCAGCCACATCCCCAGGCTCCCTTTGGTTTTGGTGTTGAGCATTTCTGCTGACCTACAGCAAACTTGTATCAGCATCGTGTCATCCACGTGAGGGATGAGAGCAGCCCTGAGCCCGTCCTTGGTATCTCCCCTCCTCACTGGGTACAAGCCCCTGCCCTCTGGCACTGCGTCTGGACACCCAGAACAACATCCAGCCCTGTCCCCTCCTGCTCCCTTCCCCTTCTCCCAGGGCTGCCTGCCTGATTTCTGCCTCACTGGAGGTGAGGTGTGGACTTTCCTCCAGAGGCAGGCACTAATGCCAGCAGTGGGTGCAGGCAAAGAGCAAAAGAAGCCTCCTCGGCACCCTTAGCTGCTTCAAGCTCCTGGTCCATTTTTCCTAATGTGGCTGCACCAGGAAGGAATGTCTGTAGCAGCACAGCTCAGAGCCCTTGGCAAGCAGGAGGGTGGCTCCAGGCCCATCAGCATCAACACCAGACATCACACTCATGGTTTGGGCTCTACCCACATCTGTTGTGCCACCACCACTGTATCAACACTTGTGTTTTGGAGAAGAAACAGGGAAGCAAACTGAGCTTGAAACCTTCGCCTTGCTCAAGTACAAGTGGCTCTGCAGGAGTTATAAGATTTTTCCTTCAAAACAGCAACCAGCTTTGGAAAGTAAGGCTGAGTATTCAGTGGGGCTGCCTACGAACATCCCCAAAAGATCAGACATTCAGCTGCAGCAGTCAGGTCAGTAGAAGGTCACATCCAGCCCAGCTGCTACACCAGGCACAGGACTAATTTTGAGGTTAAACCTACATTTAGGAGTCCAAGGTATCCAAGCTCCTATTGTAAAAGGAGGATACCTAGTCAATGAGACAGTGGAGCAGACACAGAATGGTCTCCCTAGGGAGCAGAGCCAGAATAGAGTTGCCTAAACACAGGTAATGGGATGGGCTAAGGCACAGAGACACCTGCACAGGACTGGGAAGATGCCCAGGATGTCTTACAGGATTTCTGGCAGCATCTGGTGGCTACCTGGCTATTTGGTAGGATACCCATAGCACCTGTATGGTGGCAAACATCTACTTTTAGGCAACTGAATCTCAGCCCTGTGTTAATGAGCCAGGTTCTACCTGCTGCAGACCACACCTCCATGGACCCCTGGTAACCCCTCCTCATTCAGGTGTCTCAGTCTGGAACTGAATCCACCCAAACATGTGTAAAGTGGATCTCCACATCTAAGCCAGCTGTTCAACACAAGGATTCACCTGATCAAATGCAGAATGAGGCAAAATGTTCCCTAAACTGCCTAAGCTCTGATGACTTGCTCAGCCACTCAGAGTGGCCTGTTCAGGTGGTCACCTCTGTAGCTGGAAGGACACACCACCCCAGTGTCAGCCTGCAGTGCCTGACCCAGCTCAGCTACGAGGAACACAACTCGTGCCTGACCCAGACCAAATTCGTGTTGTCCTCCAGTCCAGCAGCATACAGCTCTGCTGGTGCCACTGCCCCAGTCTGTGCCTGTGTCTGTTGAATCATTCATCAGGATACTGACATTCCTGAGCCAGGGCAGAGTTAAAATGGGATTTTATTAAAATTCCACCATTCATGGAAACAAAAATGAGCAGCTTTTACCTCAGAAAATAATGATCGAAAATCAGGGGAAAAAAGTCCACATTACTCCTTTGTTCCACCAAGATAGAAGAAAAATTAAGTTTCTAGTTGCATCCTAATCCTTCCCTGATTTAGGCTACCATGTGGGACTGCGATTGCTTAGAACTAATTACTACTTATTTATACTGCTGTAGTACTTAGGGAGCTCAGTTGGAGATTAGGGCTGGTGCCAGCTACTGCTCACTGCCCCAAAGAGTTTACAGTGTGAATAAAACAGTGCCAAGAAAAATAATTTGTTCCAGATGGGCCACAGAGGACCTGCCAGAAGTGAGCAAATGTTCACCGTGGCTTCTGAGCTGATTCAAAATGACCATCTACTAATGAATTTCTCCTCATCTCCCACTACCAATCACTTGAGTTTGTGTGTGATAACGCACACAGGAAAAACATCCTGCTTGAGGATAAGTAATGGCACAAGCAGGGACAACAAGAGAGGATTAATTGCTGAGACTTACAAGATTCTCCACAGAAGGCAATATTTTTGGTTTTAATTTGGCAAAAAAGCAACTCTGTCTGATCAACTAATTATTCAACAAAAAACAGAGGTAAGAACTAAGAAAATTTAATAATAGGGCAAAAGTTAAACTTTATGTTATGAAGCAAGATTAAAAAAATAAATAAATACACTGTATTTTAATCTGTAAGTTCCACTATGTTAACTCATGTTTCAAAATCACCCACTGAATAAAAAATGTCAAATATTTAAGTCATGATGGAGAAAGTCACTTTTTCTGTCAAAAACAGAGAAAAGTAAGGTTAGCCAAATTAGAAGTTGTGCTTAAAAATGCAGACTTTACTTAATTTAAAATGCATGGAAATAACTCAATATCCTTCAAAATTTTCCACAAAAGACTTTGCTTTTTGAAGTACCATATCCAGCAGAGACTTTGTGACACAAACCCAGGTTGCTGCAATGAACTGAGGTAAAAGCACAAAGAGGTGAAAAAGCATCATTACATTACTTCCAAGATAAATCTCCTAACTTGGACTTCAAGCCACAAGAAAGGGAAATACAAAATTGTGTAACTTTTATTCTTTCAACAATTTATATGCACACTGCAAAGCAGCATGTGCATCCTGAAAATTCCCATATATGTCCCTTGTCTTCCAGGTAGCAGCAGAAATTTCTTTGAGACTTTTTATTCTGGAATCAAAAATAACAGTGAATTTTTGAGCATGAGACTTAAGATTTAGGAAGGCAGAGGGATCTGCTGGGGGTTTTTTTGTACCAATAATGAAGATTCTGCATGACAACAGAGTGAATTTTCAGGGTGTGAGGAGTATCTGCCCTTGCTGCAATACCTGATGCTCCCACTCGTTCTTGACCACGCACCAGTGATACACCAAACCAGACTTGATTCTCCATCCTTCCTCCCACCTAGCTCAGCCCTGCAATAAATCATGTCAGCATCCTTGTGCCTGTGTCAGTGTGAAGTCAGCCCAATTAACTTAAACTGCTGACCAATGGGGTTTTTGCTAAACTGGACAACTTTGCACAAAAACAAGTTCTCACAGTGTCTGTCCTGATGGGCCTGCAGGGGGAGAGGGGAGCTTCTTTCACAAGCAGCTGGGAAAGGGCAGCACCTCAAGCCACTTCCACTAAACATGAAAAATAGTCAAGTGCCCATGACCTTGGGTTAAAAAAATGATGGGGACATTTTTAACAGCTTCCATACAGCAGCACTGAGTTGAAAACCAGCAGGGAATCTGGTACAGTATCTCAACTTTTGTTTACAAAAAAGAGAAACTCTGGTTGTCTTTCATCTCACCCAGCCATGAGCTTCTTTGGTTTTTTAACCAGTGCTTGTCTGACTTTTGGCCAAACTCAGAGCATAAGCACAATGCTGAGCATGGTTGTTCTTCCTTGAAGCATCAAAAGCACAAACCAGGGCTTCCCCTCATCCCTCCCAAACAGGTGTGACTTTCTGAAATCTATTTTCTATTCCTAAATTAGTTATTATGAGGGAAGAAAGGGCTTCTGGCACACATAAAGGACTTTCTTCCACAATCAGGGCTCTACACCCCAAAGAAGGTGACCAAGCACTTTCCCTAGGCGCCTGTGTAGCATCAACACCACTCACAGTGAAATGTATTTCTTGTCCAAGAGCCGACATTTTTGTTCATTTCACCTTTTTGTGTGGAAAGGAGGACAAGCAGCAGAAAACAATTCTATTTTTAACTTCTTGGGGATTGTGTTTACAGGAGAAATGTCAAAATACTGAGCAATGGGGCAAAGGCAGGGACCGTAACGTATGAGAAGGCTGCCTGGGCAGGCACCAGAGATGTGACCTCCTGACTTTTTGCCCCGTAGGAGACTCAATCAGAAGGTAAGAATACATCACACTGACATCTCCCTTTTCCCTCATTAGCCTGGAGGGTCAGGCCCTTTGGCAGCTGGGCATCCAAACACCACCACTCTGATTAAAAACTCCACTTTGTCAGAACCAGAGTCAAAGAAAGCCATCCCTGGATGATTTCTGTTGGCATATTTAAATTATTCAGCTACAAGAATGCAGTTAGCCCCCATTAAAAAGCAAGCTGATGGTATATTTCATGCTCATTAGCTTTTAGAAAAATTTTCTTCTGTGATGCGTAATTGAAAAATATGCATGGTGACTATCTCTGTGATTAACCTTTAATTTCTTTCTAACTAAAGTTCACTTATATATTTAATTTTGACAGGTACATTTTATTACCAATCTGAAGAGCTGACCTAAACAAAGGTCCTAAGCACAGTCCCAAACACTCACCCCATTCTTCATGTTTATTTCATGAGGTAAAGGAAATGCTGCTCATTCCATTCTGCAGCATTGCCTGCAAATTTTCATTCCAGGTATTTTGTTGTCGTATTTTTGGGAGGGAAGGATGTGAGAGAGAGTAGCGTTATCTATATTTTCAGTGTCTTGCCTTAGAAGCAAAATGCTCCTAGACTTGAATTTTCTAGAGAAATTGAGAGAAAAATCATAATCTCAATTGTTTTAAAAAGGGGCTCTTTTTTTTTTCCTCATTTTATGCATTTTTTATGGTTTTATAACAGTATGCTAAGCATCCAGGAAATGAACCAGCTCATCAGATTGGCCATTAATGCTTAGCATTTTCTTTTTGCAGTCTGTTGTGTTTCCTCAGGACCTGACTAGAATTGATTTGCTGAGTTCCTTGGCTCAGCCTGGGGAATGTTTCTTATGGACTAAAGAGAAAAAAAAAGTTATTTAAAATCTATTACTGCAGGCTGTGCTAGGTGGCTCAAGGGACTGGCAATATGGTATTGAACATTCAATCTAGGGTTACCCGTTCACCTTCAGCCAGATCTGGAGTGACCAGAAATTGCAGCCTCTGATAATTTACTAGTGGTTTACATGGTAGGAAATTGCAGTCTTAAACCATTTCAGAGAGACCATTCCAAATGAATGCAGCAGCCCTGTTAGCAATAGCTGCCATAATCATGGGGCTTCCCAAAAATTAATCTGCTTTGAAATGCACAATAGAGTAGCGAAGCCCCTTTCAAATGCACATCACTAAAAATCCTGACACTTGTGACCAAACTACTCACGGTGTCGATGTGGAAGGTGTTGGACCCCACGAAGGTGATGGCATCCTGCAGCTCGTAGTTGTGCACCCCATTCTGGTAATCCTGGTAGGGCATCATGGTCAGGGCAAAGGGCCCCACGCTGTGCTTGCTCCAGTTGGTCAACTTCACCTGCAAGGGGACAGGATCCCCCACCTGGCAGGTCACCACGACGTCGCAGTCACAGACCTTGCCATCAACCAGGATGTCTGCAAATCAAGGAAATGAGTCCTCATTAGGCTGGACACCTGCTTCAGAAACAGCATTAATCTTGACAGGAGGCTCAATAAGAAAAAAGTAACCTCAATGAAATCAGGAGCGTGGGACAGTTAATTCTGGGAGAGAAAAGCCAATGCTGTGCTGTTGTGCACCTGCTTGAGAAAAAACAGCTCATGAGGGCCTGATATCTGTCCAGAGCTGTTGAAAGAGCCATGAAAAAAAAACAATTATGATCTATACACATGCACCAGAAGATGTTTTTTTGACCTCCTCCCTTGAAGGCCAAAGCCATAGACCATTTCTCATGGTTCTGCAAATCAACCGCGCGAAGTGAAGGGAAATACAAACAGGAACCATCAATACAAACAACAGCTAGAGAGATCCAGGGCTGGAGGCTCATGTTCCTGTGTTACAGCCAGAATAAATCCTTCTGTGTGGAGGTAAGATTTTGGAGCAGGACAGACATTGGCAGAATTCGCAATGTAATGCATAAATTATAATCCAGATCATAAGGAAAAGAGGGATTTTAAAATTATACTGGAGTACTACAAGCTTGTTCACTCTTTGCACTTTAAATCACTCTGGGATTTCTATTTTTAATTTTCTACTTTTCTTTCCCTTACTGGGACAGCAGAAAATATAAAGCCTCTAAATTGGTTACTGCTGGGACAATGACAGCCAGAGTAATGTGTCCATTAACCTTGCCCATTTGCTTATACAGAACCAAAATGTTTCATTACCAACACACTATGAAATTGCCAGTCCAATTCCCTGCTCTGAAAGGGTTCCCAGTTGTGCAGTATTACTGTATTTTTCAGATGAGGGTTATCTCCAATGCACTATTAATACAGGAACATTTCTATTTCACTACGGGTTCATGTTCAGAGATAAGAGAAAGCCCTGGGCACCTGTAAGAAAGCATCCTTTGTGTGAATACCTATCCCCACAATCTCATATGCCCATGAGGCATTTCCATCACTCCTGCTCCTCCTTGGATGGTTGCCTTTTGACATACATCATATTATTCCTCTGCATTGGATTTACATTAATAATACCCCCTCTTCAAGGAAAGACACTATTTTTATGCTTCAGGTGTTTTCACAGAAAAAAAAAAAAATTACACCAAAGGGATTTTTTTTTTTTAACTTAGTTTTATTTTGTTGCCTTGGACAAAAAGTACAAAATGATGCATGTTCTTGTGATGCCCTTTAGCCTGGCAAACTGAACAAGCCTCAATGCAGCCACTGGATAAAAAACAAACTAAAGTTATTGCCAAAGAATAAAAAAGTTCAGAAAGGAACATTTATTCCAGAGGTCAGACCAGCAAAACTGAGGTACTCAGATGAAAACCTCTCCTCAACCAAAGATGCCCAAATGCAGCAGCATCAGATACAAGAGGTTTAGCAAAAAGAGCACAGAAAAACCCTTCAGTGTTCAAGCTGAAGCTATCCAAAAGCAGTGTTGGTGTCCCAGTTGGAACAGCCCCTGTTCCAAAATTTCCTTTTTTTTTTTTTTTTTTTACAATTAGAACACTGTTGAGGAGTCCTGGAGTGCTGTGTCCAGTTGTAGCTCCTCATTACAAGAGAGACAGGGACACACTGGAGAGACTCCAACACAGGGTCATGAGGAAGATTAAAGGACTGGAGCATCTCTCCCATGAGGACAGGATGTGAGCACTGGCACTGCTCGGACTGGGGAAGACTCCAGGGAATCTCAGCAATGCCTGAAGGGAGGGTGCAAAGAGAACAGAGCCAGGCTCTTTGACTCAGTGCTGCCCAGTGGCAGGATCAATGTGCACACACTTGTGGTGTCTACGAGAGTCTCCAGGACCAGGGAAGAGATTAATCTCTCTATGTTCTCAGAAGGTTGATTTATTATGATATGATATGATATATGATATGATATTATGTTATGATATGATATGATGTGATATGATATTATAGAATGCTATACTAAAACTATACTAAACTCTAGAGAAAACGATACATCAGAAGGTTTAATAACAATCAACAATAAAAACTTGTGACTGACTCAGAGCCTTGCCACAGCTGGACCATGATTGGTGATTAAGAAAAAACAATTCACATGCTGGATAAACAATCTCCAGACCACATTCCAAAGCAGTAAAACAGGGAGAAGCTGAAGCTTCTCAGCTTCCCAGGAGAAAAAATCCTGGCAAAGGGATTTTTCAGAAAACATCACAGCAACACACACTGAAACAGAGCTTCCCTCTGACCATCAGGAAATAATTTCTTTACTGTGAAGGTGGCCCAGCACTGGCACAAGCTGCCCAGGGAGGTTGTGGAGTCTCCATCCCTGGAGATACTCAAAAGCCATCTGCACATGGTTCATGGCAAGTGGCTTTAGGTGGCCCTGCTTGAACAAGGACAGGACCACAGTGATTTCCAGAGGTCCTTGCCCATCTCTGTGATTCTCTCAAAGGAAGTGATAATCACCACTGCATCTTAGGGAAGGGCTAGAAAACCTTTATAGCATTGGATTTCTGCTGCAGCAGCACACTCTAATGCCATGGGCTGTCCTGCCCAACATGCTCAATCTGCTTCCTGCAGTATTGCCCTAAGATCATGGTGGTGAAGTAGGGGTTATAATGGTGTCCCATTATCAGGGATTCACTGATTTGGTTTCCTAAAACACAAAGAATGTGTCTCTGTGGATAACCTTTATGCTTCCCTGTCTCCTGGCACAGAGCTGAAGTCCAGTTGCTTCCTTCAAAAGCAGTGCATTTATATAAATTCATTACTTTATATCAGTTCATGTTTCCAAGCTTCTCCCTGCAAGGCGACTCCTTTCATTAACTAAAAAAAACCCCAAAACAACAACCCACTTGTTTTATGCTTCCTCCATCCAGTGGGTTTTACTGTTGTACAAGGGTGAGATCCCCGGACCAACAGAAACCTTTGGAAATACTCTCTAAGCTTAGTGGATGAATCTATATTTTCAAGCTGCTCATCAATTGCCTTTTAGCTTGAATGGTCTGCTGTAGGAATTGTAAATGAACATTTTGCCCTCTATCTCTACCTTTGTATCTAATAATAACTCAGAGCCTTTCTTTCTAATATCTTCATGAGAAAATAGAAAATCCAAACAAAAGGGAAGCATTTAAGTCTGGCTCAACCAGATTAATTTTTTTTTTCTCACTTCTAAAAAAAAAAATAAAAAAAAATTAAAAATCAATTCTTTTAGATTGATTTTAGTGTGTGTGTGTGCACATGTGTTTGTGTACGTATTGAGAGATAATTTCCTTCCTTCCCAGAACACACTTCCCTCCTGCAGTACCGGAGCCAAGGATCTCAATGAGATGTCAGATGAGAGAGCACACATGGCTGGCGTGCAAAATGCTATGGAAAGGAGTGTTTAAAAACAGCCCCCTTTCATCAGGGAGAACAGCTTGGTTTGACAGGCAGCTTTACTCCCTTCCTGATACAGAAAACATCTCATGGACCATACGGATTTGCTTTAATATTTTCATCCATGAGCAGAGGAGAAGCCATGTGCACAGGGTCCCGTTTCTGCAGATTCAGCTCCCTCACACAGATGGCATATAAAAGCTGAGACTGCTCACACCACTGCTGTGAGAGTGAATCATTACTGGCTTCAGAGTACAGGATCTCTGAATCAAAAGATGCAGTCACTAGCACAGAAATCAGTCGTGGCTGTAGCTTCATCCTACAAAGATTCAGATACGAGAGAAACAGCACTTGAGAAAATTAGAAGGATCAAGTTTAATTCCAACTGCATACATAAATTGCGTTTTAAAAGTGGCAGCATAAAATCTGGATGACAGAAGGGGGGGAGCATAAAGACCTAGCAATCTCCCAAACTCCTTTAATTAAAAAATAAATCATTTTTGAAGTAATGCAATAAGCTAATAGAGTGCTGTCCTCCCCACCCCTTTTCTTGTTCATTTACCTACAATGCCCACTTGTGTTGGCATCCTTGGGTACCAAAATTACTCTGCAGTGCCTGACAGCCACGATAAAAGGACAGACATTGTCTCTGCCACACATTAATGAACAGGCACGGGGCCATTCTCTTTTCCCTCTAGGACCTTCCCTAAGTGATTATTGTATCAAGTGAGAAAATGTTATCCAACACATTTTGGAAGGTGGAGGATGAGGCTGCTACAACCACTGAGAAGGGTGATTGGAAAGCCTTCCTTTTTTATTGACAGCCTTTGCCAAGCCTTTTAGGATCTCCATGAATTAATCTTTAAGATGGAAAAACTTCTTCATGGCCCAGCTGATGGATGATACTTATTGACACCACACTAAGTCTGTGAGAGACCATTACATAAAAATAATATATCAGTATTCTTATGATGTCTTTTAGGACCTCAGAACTCTCAAGAAAAGCGAATGAATGTTACTGTCAGGAAGAAAATTACTATTCCACAAGAAAAACATCATTTACCATCACCTGCCAGGTGCACTTCTGTCTACATCACCCAAAGGAGCTGCTTGGAAATGAACACCAAACATTAATAACATTTTGTATTATTTACTCCGCTCATATTAACACACAGTAAGTTGTTGTTGCCACTTTGTCAAGTTCCCATGCGAGAACTCATTGGTCCCTGTGTACATCAAGAGTCCTGAGTCATGGCTAATTGCATTTTCACACCCAAGTCCCTCTTTGCCACTGTCCAAGTTTAATTTTGGAAAGCCACATACAAATACATTTAATCACAGTGGAAGTGCATATTCCAGCAATGGTTTCTCTTCTCACTCATTTTTTAACTGATTCAAAAAAAAAAAAAACCAAAAAAACAAAAAAACAACAACAACCCAGGTTGCAGAGAAAGGCAGGGTGGTTTTGCTGATCTTTACAGGGGAGGGATGGAGAACTTTTCATTGGATATTTCCCTTTAAACTGGATCCCCAGCTGATGCACATGCACAGGCCTCTGCCATTCTCTGCAGTTGGGAACTTGGCCCAGGACTCTGAGCAAACACCACACAGATGAATGGCTT